AAGTTTATTGCAATTGTAATGCAATTAGGAAAAATTACTAACATAATATCTTGGTTGTTGAAAAAATTTGCAAGCAGTTTGTAAATTTGTCGAATAAGAACTACTTGACATTTTTCTTATTTTTTCAATTTTAATAATATAATATTAAATAAAAAATTTAGGATAACAAATACCAAAAAAATTGAGAAGTTATTGAAATATGAGAAGAAATAAGAGAGAAGTAAAATGAGAGTAGTTGGTAAGAAATAGATGAAAAATAAGCTTACCACTAGTTTTATGAAGTTAAGGGGTATTTTGGTCCAAAAATTCTAACCACTTAACTCATGCTAACCACATGCTGTAATTGCTAATGTTAGCAATTTTTAAACAACTACCAGTAACAAACTATTAAAGTTAGGGATAAAATGATCTTTTAGTAATTTGGGGCTTAAATAATTTTTGGAAAATAGTTTAAGAGAGTTTTGTGATCTATATTATATATGTCATAATATCAACTTGATTTATCAGACTTTAATTAATAAAATATTTTTTTAAAAAAATTAAATTAAAATATATTTTATTTTCTTGTAAAAACTTAAATAAAAAATATATATATTGATAAATTAAATATAATTGTTATATATTATTATTAAACCAGTTTCAAATGTAATTATATTATTTATTAAAATTTAAAATTATTTATTAATTTATATTTTTTAAAAAATTTCTTGCTTTAGTTTTGAATTATTTTTTAAAATATAAAATAATAAAAATATAATAATTTAACAATTTATATTAACATATTATTTTAAATATTAAATATTATTTAAATTTAAATATATAATAACATTAAAAATATATATTATAAAATTTTGTAATAAATTTAAATATAATATATTTTTAATAGATTAAGTTATAATCTACTCCAATCTGACCATTAACGGCATATGCCTGACCTATTCTTATTTACTCCAATTGGGCCCACAGATTTGTCTCCCAACACACTAAACTCAATAGACTTGGAGCCCATTCAATTGCCATCCCATCTCTTATGGGCTATTTGGTGGGAGCCCATGAATCAAGATTAAGAATATCTGCGAAGTACATTTGTATTGGTCCTAGTCTTATGTAACTCTTCTTCTTTTTATTATTTTTCTTTTTTAAGAAAATTGGTTAATCTCGACTATCATTAAATCATCTAAGTATGGTGTGCGTATATTGTGTATAAGATTTATTTAGCATTATTTTTTTTAAGGAAGTTTGTTAGATTTGACTGTAATTAAATCACTAAAAAATATAAAATCCAAGAATATTGAATTTTGCTTTTAGCTCAACTATTCGTTGTTATACCTAAGAAAACTTAGAAATTTGATTCTTTAAATTTATTTAGGTGTGCGTTTAGAAAAAAATATTGTCTCAAAAGGTGATATTTTTAGGAGTAATTATTTCAAACAATACTCTATATAACTTTGAAAAAAAATCAAAAATTTGATTTGTTTAAAAATATTTTTTAAAAGATTTATTAAGACACTCTAAAGTATTTCAAAAAATATTTTGAATAGAAATGCTTTGTTTATAATAAAAAGTTAAATAAACACGACCTAAATCTATCCACATATTACTCTGTTGTGTAATTCAATTACTTCTTTCTCATCTGTAGGGTTGTAAATGAGTTAGATTTCAATTAAATCAAGCAAATTCGAATCTAAATCTGATTATCTATTTTTGTATCCATTTCCAATTTGAAATCCTGAGAATCTGTGCTTGAGAAATCCAATCCAATAGGAATATAATACTCTTTTACATTTAAATCCCTCAACTCTATTTTATTAATCATATTATTCCCTCAATTTTCTGATTTTCCTAGTTTAGTTCTTACAAGTTTAAATTTATTAATATTATATGTATAAAGATTATTAATTTAATAAAAATATTATTAAAATTTAGATTTAGATCTTTAATAGATTGGACTACTTAATTCAATATCCGATCTACTTATTTTATATTATAAATATTTATAATAAATTTAATTATCAAACATTTTAATATAATTTAAATTTTAAAATTCTAATAAAATTTAAATCGAATTCGAATTAAAATCTAATGTATCAAACACCCTACTCATAATCCACTGTAATACAGTCTTTGAAGCGGAAAAACAGAAAAAGCAAAAGAAAACATAAGCACTACAGAGAATCAAATTGGGGCACTCATCCCTGCAATTGTTTCCTAATGTAAGTCCATTTACCCATGGTTGACTCCATGTTAGAACCCTTGTATCCTTGTGACCAAACATCCACATTACCAGGTGACCCCTGACTGTGAAATGATTCACCCCCCCCCCAAAAAAAAAATCTGGCACAAAGTACAACAATTAAAACCATAAAATTTCCCAAAGAACTCACTCAAATGCATCTTCTCCAACCCTCTACAAATTTGTTTGGCTTTGAGGTCATTTAGCCTTTGAACCGGCACAAGTATGCCTTCCATTATCTCTCTTTCCAGCTCCTTCTCTGCCTAGCTCCTCCTTCAACTTTGGCTCTTCTTCGTTTCTCCATGTGCTCAAACTTGCATTGCTTCCTATGCTTGAACATTCATCATCACCATTACCATTATCTTCAAATTCATTGAAAATGAAGGCTAAATGGGACCAAATGATGGTGGTTTCAGTTAGGAAAGATGATGGGTTTTGGTTGGACTTAGAGGGGGATGATTTGGGTTTTCTCTTGGTACAAGTTTTGGGATTCATTTACTCAAGTAAAAGCAGTTTTGGGGAGTTTGATCAATGGTTGGTGAAGATAAGTTAGTACAAATAGAGGTAGATAGGCCAAAGTCATGATTTGTGAGTTGTTGATCATGCCAGCATGTTTAGAATGAGAATTGACCGTGTGGTAGAGATTTGTTGCTGACCACTCGTGTCTTTTTGCCACTCTCTTCTCCTATGGGGATAGAGGGATCTTTGACTTGATAATGGCACATGTTTGGAAACAAAACTCGCAGGTTTTTACCCTCAACTTGTTAAATTAATAAAAGTAGAGAAGTGATATAACTAAACTAAGCCCTTCAAAGACAAGGATGATTGAACCTCTTTTGCAGTGGTAGGAGTGAAGAGATTAAGAAAGGATATTTAGAAACTCAAAAGCCAACAGTTTTTTGAAAAAAAAAAAGTTCAAAAATTTTCAGACTATCTAGCTTTCCTCAAGCTTACTAAGACAATAGGTTGCCCTATGGGAACTACCCAAGGAGATTCTCTTTTGGTTGGACTCTCTAGTGAAAGCTTATGATTCAGTAATCACAATAGAGGTTTGTTTGGACAAATGTTTATACATTATTTGACACTTTAACTAGGCCTCCTCTGTCTCATTCTCTGTCCTAGTCATCCCTTGTCACATTGGCCAAGTTTAGGATTGTTAATGACATGGATTTTAATCTGAATTCAGTTTGAATTCGATTCAATTATTTAGCATCTTTAACCGATAAAATGATTTAATAGAAATGATCTTATTATAAAAGTCTGTAATATAAAATAAATATAGTAAATATAGATTTTGTTTGATTCAATCCACTAAAGATTCGTATCCGAATATATATATTAATATATATATATATATACACACACAATATATATGATATATAATATGACATAATATTATATATTATATAATATTATATATATCGTAATATAAAGATTTAGATTAATAAATTATTTTCTTCCTTAAAATAGAAAATAGAAACATATCTTTATTTTTCAAAAAAATAAAAAAATAGAAAATATGTGTATTGATGGATTAAATATAATTATTATAAGGAGAGATCAATTGATACCCCATGTAAGTGTAAAAGGACTTATACCAAATTTTAGACAGTTGATTTGATCAAAATCAACAAATAAGATTAATTACAGCTGTCTTACAATAACTTCTAATAAATAATAATTTACATTTAAATCAGCTATAATTAATCTCATCTATTGATTTTGACCAAATCAATAGTATAAAATTTGGTGTAAGATTTGGTGTAAGTTTTTTACACTTACACCGGTGTCAGTTGATCCTTCTCAATTATTATATATCACTAGTAAGCCAATTTTATATATTTGTAGTGGATAAAATATAATAATACAATACTTTCAAATTTCAAAAAAGAGAAAGATTAATTAATACCAATATAAGTGTAAAATATTTATAACAAAGTTTATACAATCAATTCTATCAAAATTAATGGATGAAATTACTTAATATTTTAAAAAGAAAAATAAGTGTGAATTAATATAATAGAAGATAATTGTACTTATAATCTCATTAATTGAATTTGACCAAGTCGATGTTGCAATTAGGTTAGTATTAATTGATCTATTCTCATTCAACAATTTAAACTTAGATTTTTATTTTGAATATCAAATTTTATCTGGGTTCAAATATAGTTATCTTAAGCACATATTTTATAAAATTTTGAGTCAGATTTGGCTATAATATGCTATTATCATATTTAAATTTGAATTTATCATGATTTGACCTAAATCCAACGCTCTAGCAGCCCTAGCCAAGTTGTAGCTCAGAGTGCCTGAGATTAGGGGATGCAAATAGAGGTTCACACAATCTTCTATGCACATTAACCAATGCATTATGTTTATTTCCTAATATTTTTCATTGATTTCCAATTCAATCCCATCTTCCATTAAGCCCAATTTATTTGTTGCGTGATTTGTTTTAATTCTTTTTCTTCCTATTTCCTGTTTAATTTATTTCAAAGTGATCACTTACAAATGGAGATTTTACATTCTAATAGCTTAACATCAGAAGGATAATGGCATTTATTTGATTCTGGAGGTTGTGTAAATTACTTAGTTTTTTCTTTGCTTTTTCTATCTCCAGTCACTAATAGGCAGGGAGCTAAAACAGAGAGATGTCATGAGCTTCAGACTAGTCGTTCTTTAAGAGTCGTGTAGGTTTGTGCTCCAGTGCATAGGACAGCTCTTCGTAAAGCCATTTCAACGAGTCGCTGATGTGTAACCCACTGTCTCATGCAGTTTCCTGGGGAGCAGCCGGCTTTTGTTGCTCAAGATTTTCGGCTTTATCTTCTTCATTTTTCCCCCACAGGTAGCCGTAGAGGCCACCCACCAACACCACAGCACCAGAAGCGCTGCCAGATTATTCAGAATTTATAAAGAAAATGAGCCTTACTGATTTTAAAAATTTGAAAAAGTAGTAGTAGATAAAGGGTACGAACCTTCCCCAGTGAAGGGATTCCTTCCACAAGATTGCAGAAAAGAAGGCCGTAAAGACGAGCCCTAATGGGGTGAACATGGCCAGAAAAACAGGGCCCTTTTTGCCTATGACCCAAATCCTCAACCAATATGTTAATCCAGCGTACAACACACCCTGCAGGTGACAATATCCACGATCTTTTTAGGCAACTACTTAACTTGGTATTCATTTAATTTCGTAATACCAATGGAAAACTCCCATTTCATGAGGTAATTTTGTTTGGATATGTTTCTGAAAACAGTTTTCTGCTGTTTGGATATAGAAAATCTGTTTGGCAGGCTGTTTGTCGAAGGTTTTTTTTTTTTTTTTTTTTTTTTTTTTTTTGGGGGGGGGGAGGAGTTTTCAGAAATTATGCTATCTTCAGTAAACAGCCGAAGTTGTTTCCAGAATTCTCCGAAACTATCTTCTCTTGAAAAATTTTCAAGATTTCCAATGTTTCCTGTTTTAGTTACACAGAAAATGAAATTTGAGAATGGAGAACTCACACAGTAGATAATTGAGAGAAGATTGATATCCCATCCAAGTTTCCAGGCAGATGATTTTCTGTCTACAGCGACTGCCCAAAGTGCTGCCTGGATGCAACTGAAGAAGGTTTGCAGGGCCGTGAGTCTCATTTTTGCCGGATATTCCTTCAATATAGGCTCCTGCCACCATCAAGAAGAAAATTTTCAAGCATGTTGATCCACCCATTTGAGAGAGAGAGAGAGAGAGAGAGAGAGAGAGAGAGAGAGGATGAACCTGCATAATGATCCATGCGGCCCAAGATACGTTGGATGAAGTGGCAATAAGTGAGCCTTTGAGCCAGTCCCCCTTGGAGCTGCTCTCAGTAAATGAGACTGAACTTTCCTTATGGCTAGTATGGTACATAGGAGGTCCTTTTACTAGAATAAAGAACGTAGCTCCCAAAATACTGACAGCCGAACCCACCAGCTTTGCTATTCCTGGCCATTTCTTCATGGAAATTCTCTCCATCCTGATAACATCAAACACAAATTTTTTCTACTCATTCCTCGGGGAGATTTCCCAACCAGTTTGAGCTATGATTACTATATCCTTAATTTTGAAGATCACAAAAATAACCTTGCCGTGTACCTTAAAAGAACAGCCATGATGAAGGTAATGGCTGGTACCGTGTTGCTTAAAGCCACACAGAAAGTTGCAGAGATGTAGTTCATCGACAAAGTGTCAAGATTTAAACTCAGGGTAATCCTGAAGATTTGGATATGTGTAATATAATTATGAGTTCCAAGATTATTGATTCAAGTAAGTAATTCAAAGTCAAGAGAAATAGACCATCCTAATGTATATAGATGGTGAAAACAACCAATTACTTACCCAAATAAAGAAAGGAAGAAGATCTTGCATAGTAAGTTGAGTGATAGGGGAGGAGATTTGTTGCTGCATATTCACAAGAAAAACCCACAAGTTAAAATAAAGACATTTGATTTGTTTTTGAAAATTGCTTTCTCTTTTCGGAAACAAAAACCCATATGCCAATTTTTTTTTTCCAGAACTAATTCCAGAGAATTTTTAGAGGAAAATATTTAAGATTAACATATTGTCCCTAGAATTTGCAAACCTAAAACCTTATTTTTATAATTTTCATCAACATTGTCAGTGCTTCCAAGTTCTAAAATAAAATATTTTTCTCCATTTTCTGTTATCAGAAACGCAAATATGAAAATTGAAATGGAAAGGTCACCTCTCAAGGAAGAAAGCAAAGGGAGCCACGGCAATGAAAGCAACGGCTTGACGGTAAAAAACAAAGATGTAAGGGTTCATTCCTTGGAAACTGCTGTTTTGGTGAGAATGGCCCTGCCAGCATACACCAACTGGATGCATAGGACCCCAATATAAGCCTTATTGCTTCCCCCATGCACACCAAACTACTAAGCGACCAGCACTTCATTTTGCTTTCTGTTTGGCTCCCTCTTGAGTCCATCTTAATGTGAATGTGAACCTCTTCTATTTATAAACAAAGCCTAGCATCCACCCATCCCCTCGGCATGGGCATGCACTTTTCCAAACAGAACTTAGGTTGCCAGATTTCTGCCTTAAAATATTAGGACTGTGGAGGTTGAGAGAGTTCCAGCGGATCTCTTATTCCATTTTGATATACAACTTCTCATTGTTGTTATCCTTACATGTAAATAAAATGTGACACTTGTAATTCCGTGCAAGTCTCGCAATCAGTTTTTCTTCCTTTCTGTGGGTGCAACACGCACCAGGAGAGGGTTAGTAGCCTTAAAAAACCAATGAAAAATTAAAATCTGATCCATAATTTGTTGATATTTACAAAATAGTAAGAATTGAAGAGAGTGGATTTCCTCAAAAGCAGCATAAGCCAACCAGAAAAGCTGGCTTTAGCAACAAAACTTTCTGGTAGATAACCATGTTACTTATGAAATATTAAACCAACCTATACGTATTTTCCCTCTAGTAGTATTGATTAAGTGCACATTCACTCATGATTCGACCCATTTTAGCCACGGAATTCAATTGTACGAGGAAGATTTCTCTCCACAGCAGGTGCTCAGAAACGCCAGTAGTCATCGAATAAAGATAATAAACCATAGGCTGGGATTTTCTTTGTTATTCTCCCAGCCACCCAATTAGGATTGTGACCCCCAGTGGCACCCGGACCGCTTGTAGCCGCGTAATTTATTGATGTCTGGTTCGCAACCAAAGAGCAGCACCGGCTCGAGTACGAGCCATTTTGTAGCGGGGCTGATAGAATCGTCTCAACGGTTTATTTTACGTTGTTTTTGATAATAGTGTTATTACTTTTTATAAAAAAGTAAATTTTACATTTTTTATGAGTATACGAAGAGAAAAGCTATAAATATATATATAATATATATATTAAAATATGCATTTATAGTTTTATTTACCAAAATATTTTTTTAAAGTCAATTTTTATCAAGCCGATTTCTCAAAAAAGTTGTTGGATACGAACTAATTGCTATCGAGAATTTGATTGTAAAAAAAAAAAAAAAAAGAAGAAAAAGGTGAAGGATCAATTAGTTGGAAATTGACTTTATAAGTAAAGTTGGTCCAAATTGCATTTATTTCAATGATTTAAGTAGCACTGACTCCTTAAAGGAAGTAGCACTGATTTTCTAAAAAAGTCGGTCAGGATTGGTTGTAGCTTAGCAAGATGATAGCTGAGTCCAATAGAAAGAGGGGAGTGGCTAAGGGGAGGGGGAAAAGGGTGACGGTGGTCGGTGGTTGGCTCACAGCAACCACTGGCACGCTAACGGAAGAAGGTTCTTACGAAGAAGAAGGTGAAACAAATTTTCTATTTTAAATTAATTCTAAATTTGACTAGCAATATTACAAATGTTTCAATTAGATCCTTAATCTATTTAATTCTTCTACATCCTCCTCTTAGCCACCGCCCTTCTTCCTACTGCATCTAGCCATTGCCTTGCTGGATACGTCTGGTTATGGCTGACTTCTTTGGAAAAATTGGTTCACTCTAAGGTCGGTTTGTCATTCTTGAAGTTAATTTACAACTAACTAATTTTCATATGAAAATTATTTTTTTTCAGTCAACTTCTCAACGATAGCTAATTTTTGTTTAACCAACTTCTTTAGAAGTCAATTTTTGTCACGTCAATTTCTTTACTTCAAAAAAAATGCATATTTTGATGAGTAATATTAAAATTATATATATTAGTGAGAATACACACACGTATATGAACAAATCTATAAAATCTTTTTTTATGGAAAATAAAAATATTACCTTCAAAAACAAAAAAATTAATGAGATCCTTCTCGACTGAGCGTAAGAACTCCGTTGAGCACGTCTTTTCCCCTTTGAAGATGTACTTTAAAGGCCCAGATTTAGTTCAAACACGTCTGCTCTTCTTTTAAGATGGGCCTTAAATACGTCTCTTTTTTTAAGATATACCGCATCAAGATTCAAATGTCTGTTGGAGTAAAAGGCACAGATTCAATGTCCAAATTACATTTTTATTTAATCTGAACAAGGGTGATATTTGATTCATCGGAGCACAGAATAATGAGCAGAGGATTGTATTTTGTTCTTATTGCCGCACTGGTTTTGAGCTCAAACAATTGGATCTCTCCCGTCCAAAATTTCTTTTGAAGGAAAAAAATAAAGGGAGAGATATTGGATGTGACATTGACTAATATAGTCAATTCATGACCACAAACTAAAGTAAAAATATTCACCGTGAAGCACACTGGGATTATACCTGAGGATATCTTGGCATCTTACTTTTTCATTTAAAATGTTAAAAAATAATTCATTATTAATTTTAAATTAATTAAAATAAGAAAGGAAGAGCAAAAGGGAACCATGTTCTAGGTGACACAATATATTCGGTATCTCATCGTGCATATTATTTTATGAGTATCAAATTATATATTATATAATTTTTTGGAGTAATACTGTTCTTAAATCATTGAAATTTAAATATTTTAAATTAATTATTTAAATTTAATTAGTTGTTATAGTACCTGATTCTTAAGTGGTTATAAATATTATTAAAATAATGAATTTATTTTAAATTACAAAAGAATAATTACGGAGATTTGTTTAGATTTAGATTTTAACGAGAATATCTAATATTTTATTCCATTTTCCTTCTTATTTTTTCATTTAAAATGTTAAAAAATAATTTAAATTTATTAAAATAAAAAAAAAAGAGCAAAAGGGAAACACCCATGTTCTAGGTGACATGTAATATATTTGTTATCTCATTGTGCATATTATTTTATGAGTATCACATCATATATTATATAAATTTTTTGGGTAATACTATTATTAAATATTTAAAATTTAAATATTTTAAATTAATTATTTAAATTTTATAAGTTATTGGAGTAAGTGATTTTCAAGTAGTTATAAATAATATTAGAATAATGACTTTATTATAAATGGCAAAAGAATAATTAAAAAGATTTGTTTAGATTTAGGTTTCAATGAAAATATCTAGAATTTAAGTAAGGAAAATGGTAATATTTAATCCATTTCGATTTGTAAATATAAAATTTTTGATATATAAAAATTTTGAGAATTACCACTAAATAATTTAAATTAAAAATTAGATACTCTTAAATTGTTATAAATAGCATTGTAATAATAACTCGATCAACAAAAGATCTTGTTATAATATACATGTCACTAATTGGCTGTTATTACCAGGAGAAAATGACAAGTTAGTAATTTATACTTTTTTTCTCTATTTGAACTTAAATTAAAAAAAATGAATTTGCTAATATAAATTTATTCTATTAACAATGTAACTATTTATATTACATATTTTCTTGTTATATCTTTTCCTTTCCATTTTTTGTACTATCCAATATGGAGCATACAAATATTGGGTCAAGCCTAAAATAGAAAGGAAAAGGAAAGTAGAAGAAGACACCCATTAAACAGTACTCAACCTTCGTCGGCATCAACAAGAATGTGATCTTAAAACCAAGCAAAGGGTACATGCACTAATATGCATTATTACTAAACTCTAGGCGTCTCCAATTAGTGATGAAGACCCCAAGTTTCAATTAATCCGGTGACACAAATAGTTTACTAAGTGGACATCCAGCACATATGGATTTGGCAAGTTAAACTTTTGTCGGTCGAATAATTAGGAGGGAAGATGGTGGATTTATGACTAGACTCATATATTGCTTGTACGTCTGTTTTTTCTTCTTTGCGTTGAGCAAAAATTAAGGTAGACTACAAAACCAATCAAATCATTCAAGAAGAACGCCCAAATTTGGAATCTGTACTCGTGGGAGACACCGAAGTCTTACCCCACCCACATCACCCATTTGCCCTTCTCAAATATTTCATTTTTTTATTTTTTGAAACTAAATATTATATATTTTTTAAACATTTACATACAGACAGATAATTTACCCCATTTAAATATTAAATGGAAAAATGAGAAAGAAGTTTAAAAAGCCTAAAAGCCAGTAAACCTAGATTATCATATTGAGATATGTTTTGAATTCTTTTTTTCTTTTTTCTTTTTTTGATTTCTAGTCTTGTGTTTTAAATATTGAACCAAACAATTTGAATATTTAGAAACAAAAAGCTGAAAAATATCAGTTTTTATTACCCAAGAAACTGAAAAATATCTAGCAGTGTGACCGCACGTGGCAGTGACATGTCATCATGGAATTGACAAGCCAGACCAAC